CAATGAGATGGCAGGTCTTGACAGGAGGACTCCTGAGTAGCCACAGCGTCCTGGAGTAGCTAGCAGCTTAGCACAACAACTTTTATATACCCATTGATGAGTAATGCAGGCATCCAATCAGGATTTACCACATACACCAATCTGGAGTCTTGGGATCATCACAGTGTATTAATATTGTAAAACTTAATACCTGTCGCTCTGCCTAAATCATCAAATATTCATCAAGTTTGTATTCTACTCGAAAAAGTAAATGTAGTAAAACAGAGTCTTAAACCCAAAAGTAATGCTCTGGTTACTAAAGTAACCCTTGTTCCCCGAGGAGGGGAGCGGAAATGTTATAAGTGGATTTAATCCTTTCTATTTTCGTTCAAAAAACCAATCATCCGAAAGAGTATGTAAATGGACCAATGAAATGCCAAATGAATTGGCAGCGTCAGCTTGCGCACCTGATGCTTGTTGCAATCAATTCAGAATAAAAGCACAGCGAAAGCAAGAAGACACTAACCTTTTTAAGCTGAAGAGACTAATACCTACAGCTAAGGAACAATCATTATGGTGATGCAATATAGCATTTCCGTTCCCCTCCTCTGGGAACAAGGGTTACATTAGTAACCAGAGCGTTCCCCTTCGGATGGGGAACTTCAATGCTATAAGTGGATTTAATCCACAAATGAGGAAATGTCTGGAAAACACCATAATGACTGCATCTTAGCTTCGCCTCCGATGAGAGGATAGTCAGGCATAGCGTGAGCGCACCTGCTTCATAGAGAGGTGCGGTCTTCCAATGTGATCCCTGGCCCTAACTTTCCCACTTCAAAGAAGATTTACGGATTTATATTTTTCTGGAGCCGCAAGCATCTAGATAATTACTAGGAATTTAAATACAACAATACGTTGGGAAAGCGTGCAGTCTCGAAGGGGAGGACGCTGTGGAGGCCACCTGCTACCCAAATGGGGAGATATGATGACAAAATATATGGACTAGCCCTGAGAAGGGGGAGTACGTATATAATAAGATGGTTAGCGGAGAGGGAAGACACGGGTCTGTATGTGAGAGGGGCATATGTGCACTGTGTCTGAATAAGCATATAGGCTCACCTAGTGGGGATCACACATAGGGGGCACCTATACCCAAAAAGCAGGCTGACCAGTGGGCAGACCTACAATGTAATGGGCCAGCGAGTGACTCCTCCGCTGAGTCAGTGCTGGGAGCCTCGGATGAATCTGCAGGGCTCATCTAAGCGGGGAACTTTCCTGTCAGAGTGAAAAAGCACACATATCTCTGTTAGGGAGAATTGAGCAGCAAGCGTGTTTCAACTCCTTGTTTCCTCAATTACCAAGGGTTACCTAATACCCTTGAGGAAACCAGCTCCACTTGCAGATTGTAAAACCTTGCAAATGTATTAGGTGTTGCCCAGCCCAGCTCTACATTAGTCTGTTAGAGAGGCGCCGCAAGCACGCGCCCAAGAGGATGCGATGATCCGAGTGGAGTGCGCACGCACTCCTCGGTGACACGGCTCGCCCTGGCTCTCAAAAGCAAGGGAGATGGCATCCACTATCCAGTGGGCCAACCTCTGTTTTGAAAGGGCATAAGAGGGGGGCGGGGTAGATTAATTCGCCTAGCGCCTCTGAGGAACAGGATGATGAGGTTATGCCTTCTCATGGTGCTGCCAGCCACAGCGTCATGATGAGCAGAGATGGCAGCCACTTAAACTTTGAGTGTGGAGGGCGACAGCCTGCTCTCCAGCCTCTCTTGGAGGAAAGAAAGCACAACGCTGATCTGGCAATTTCGGGGGTCTTCTCTGCAAGAAACACACTATTTAGTGAATAGACTTCACTTCAGGGCATAGGCGCGCCTCGAGAATGGGGCTCTAGCCTAGGTGATGGTATTAAGCACCGCAATTGGTAGGTTACCCAAGTCTTTCTCGCGTCTAAGGACACGTGGAGGTTCCAAAGATTGTGGCGAGGGTGCCAGACGGTGCCCTGTCCCCGAGAGAGTAGGTCCTCTCTCAAAGGGATTAGCCAGGGGAGGGCAGTCGCGAGGTGGGAGAGCTCTGACATCCAGATCTTGTTGGGCCAGAGGGGCGCAACTAGCAAAACCTCCCCCTTGTCCTCCCTGATCTTGCACAGTAACTGTGCGAACAGGCTCACAGGGGGAAACGCATATTTTGCGCATGCCCTGAGGCCAGCTGTGGGCCAGTGCATCCCTGTCGAGAGAGCCCTCGGTCAGGGAAAAGAACAACTGGCAATGAGCGTTCTTGGGGAAAGCAAACAGACATGCGTCCCATGCGCATCTGGAGACACGATCATGAAGCCAGTGCTGAAGTGGTCTCATATGGAGTAATCCTTGCGGAGTGACAGCAGCTGCGGATGCCATATGCCCCAGGAGCCTCAGTAATAATTTCAGTGGGACTACTATTTTGTCGTCGAACTCTCAAACATTTCAGCATTAGCTGAGCGCTCTTTTTTAGAGAGGCGCGCTGTCATGGTGACCGAGTCCAGCTCGAGCACAAAAAAAGAGATCCACTGCATGGGGGCGAGTTTACACTTTTCTTGGTTGACCTGAAGCCCCAACAGGTGGAGGTATCGAAACACTTTGTCTCTGTGCATAATCAATTGCTATTGAGAGTGGGCTAAAATCAGCCAGTCGTCGAGATAATGGAGTATGCGGATGCCTGCGAGCCGAAGGGGCGCTAAGGCACCCTCCGCGAGCCTGGTGAAGACATGCGGAGACAGAAAGAGCCCGAAGGGAAGGACTTTGTATTGCTAAGCTTGACCTTTGAACGCAAACCACTGATACTGACGGTGGCAAGAAAGAATGGAGACATGGAAGAATGCGTCCTTCAGGTCAGCAATCTCCTCTTACAAGACAGGGGCAGACAGGGGGCTGACCCTGGTGAATACACACCCGTGAACTTGGGGGGCAGTTTGCTAGTTGAATCGCGTAGCAGAGTCTGATTGTACGTATAAGCCACCGCGAAGGGCTGACCAGCGCTAACCAGGCAGGCAGAGCTCTCGCTAATGAACTCATCGTTACAATCGCTGACGTACCAGCAGTGGGGAAGCGCGGAGTGGGTGTGCTGATCCGGGAAATGCGAGGGTCCCGTGGAAGAGCTGGAAGCAAGAGATTCACTCTCACCTCGCACCCAAGCTCCGGAGGGGGGGATCGAGGGGTGGGAGAAAGGAGATCGTCCTTCCAGTGCTTGTGAGCCACTGGCGAAATGCACAGAACCTGTGAGCTGGAAGGCATAGTGTCCCAGACTGCCAGAGTTTAGGCTGTCACATCCGGGGAAGTGGAAAAGTGTTTTGATGTTTGCGTGGCACTGAAAAGTGCCGTTGGAAATGGGGTCCAGCCCTCCAGCGGAGAAAGTGCAAATTCCTTCTTCTCCGGGTGACCCGTCTCAGGGATGCTTTGCGGTCCAATTACCTGACTTAAAGGCGCCTTTGGCCGGGGGGGTGGGAGGGTGAGGGGGGGTTCTGTCTGCTTCCAAGGTGCTCGACTTGCCTCCTTCGCTGGAGTTGCAGGCAGGGGCAGGGCAGCTTTCGTAAGCGGGCGCCATCGGTGAGGAGCAGCAGATGTGAATGGCTCGGCGGGCGGAGTGGGCTTACGGTCCCGCCGATAGATGACATTATCCATCGCATCAGACTGCTCTCTCTCTGCCTTGAATTCCTGGGTGAATTCACCAACGGTGTCACCAAACAGGCCAGCCTGGGATATGGGGGAGTCAAGATAGGAGACTTTGTCGACTTCGCGCTTATCAGCCAGGTTTAGCCAGAGGTGGCACTCCTGGACCACTAATGTGGACATCGTCCTCCCTAACGCACATGCAGCGGACTTAGTGGTCCAAAGAGCATAGTTGGTTGCAATGCAGAGCTTGTGTAGCAAGCTTTGGTCGGACCCACACTCATGCAGCTGGGCCAGCGCCTGTGCTTGGTAGCGCGGATAGGCAGCCTGGCCCATAGCCTTGTAAGCTCTTGCTCCGAGAGAGGCATATAACCTTCAGGATTTGGATGGGGGACGAGGCAGACCCCGCCAAGAAGAGGCGCCACGCTGACAAAGATTGACCGCAATGATGCGCTCGACATGAGAAATCACCTCATACCCCCTGGCTGTTCCACCGTCAAGAGTGGTGAGGGCGGAGGGACACACAGCACGGGCAGAAAAAGGTGCCCTCCAGGACTGCGTGAGCCTACTGTTCACCTCTGCAGTGGATGTCTGGTCACGGTGTCATCAAACTTAAGGGCTACCATCTGGTTAGACGGATCGCTTCCTTGCTCGAAGCTTGGATGGAGCGATTGGAGGAGAGGGAGGTCCGCGTGTCCGGAGGCGACAGATAATCTCCCACTAGAACCCTCAGACCTGCCTGATTACCTGTGCAGTGTAGGGGACAGCTGGGGTGGTTCGCCCTTTTGCAAGGGCTAGCTGTGATCTTAATTGCGCAACAGACATGGCATCGCAATAACAACATAAACTGCCTGCGAGCACCGCATTAACATGCTGGACCAGAGACATGCAACGCAGTGCTCGTGCCCATCATCCAGGGACAGGAAACCACTGCATCCAGAAACGCACAGTCGGAGCGCCATCCTGACAAGGACGTGCAGCACGACTGTGAGGCTTTTTTAGGAAATTTGCAACTTTATACGCTCTGGAGGACCGGACCCAAAGAACGCCAGGCAAGGATAAGCCCAGCTCGACTGTCTGCCGCCGCGTGTACACACTCTGGACCAGGAAAGCGCTCTCGTTCACTCGAAATTGCTGGATATCAGCAGGAGGAACCCTCATCGACTTTCTCAGAAGGCTGTTGAAGTCGCTGAAGCGAAAATGTTTGTGTCTTGCTTTCGCTGTGCCTTTATGCTGAATTGATTGCAACAAGCATCAGGTGCGCAAGCTGATGCTGCAAATTAATTTGCCATTTCATTGGCCCATTTACATACTCTTTCAGACGATTGGCTGTCTGAACGATATCCCCATACGTGGATTAAATCCATTTATAGCATTAAAGTTCCCCATCCGAAGGGGAAAAAACTTTATTAATAAAAGCTGCAACACAGTCCAATAGAATGGGCTTTCTAAACTTGAGGCCCTGGTATACTGCAAACTAACCGTCCTGGAGCTCTACCTTCTTTGATGTGCTGTGTCTTCCCAGTGATGTTTCTCATTCAGAGACTCAGACAGAGAACATCATCAAACAGATGTAATCGCACCAGTAAAATCCCTAGCAATAAGATTTTAAGCCACAGAGGTACTGCTTGCCAGATGTTTTTGAAACTGTTAAGCCGCCGTTTTTGAAACTCTAAGCCGCCATCATTGTGTTTAATGATGTTTAAACATTTACAACCCCACATACTGAAGTGTTGGAAAACAGTATACCATCATTTAGCCTTTTCAATATTATTCAGACATGAAATATCCTTTACACACGAGAAAATGTGTTGCTGCATTCATGTCATGTGTGAAACTTTTTGTCTAATTCTGTAGACACTTAACAGTTCTGTACGGTTTCTCTCCAGTGTGAATCCTCTTTTGTGTTTTCAGATGTGGTAACTGATTAAACCTCTTGTCACAGTGTGAACACTTGTATGGTCTCTCCAGTAGTGATGGGTCATTCATGAAAGATTCGTTCATTTTGAAGGAATCTTCAATATGACTCGGGAACTACGAGTCCTCTCAGGGAGTGATTCGTTCATCCGTGCGTGCGCACATTTGTGCAGGTAGTATCGTTAATTTCAAGTCTTCCATCACATTGGCAGAAACAAATCATATGCAATTAGAGCCGGAAAAATAATTAATCCACTCACCTCTCGAGTCCTCTATCGGGTCTGAGTCACTCGTTCATCACAGGCCAATCATGCACTTTTAGAGTCGGAAAAAGAATTGATCTGTTTATCTTTCGAGTCCTCGGGTTTGAGTCATTCTGTCACGTGATGAACGAACGATCATGGCTCCTATCGGCTTATATGTGACTGTCAGTGTAACGTGAATGAACCCCTGACATTTGGAGACATGAAAAGGTGAGCTGAGCAAAGAGACAAAAATGCCTTCATAGACAAAAGAGCAGGTAAACATTGAATTATTTTCTCCTTATATTCGGTTTATGACTTATTTGACGTGCAATCAACTTTTTGGGCTAGTTGTAGATGTCTTTGGAAGCAATTCGTAACATTTTAATAATATTTTGGCAAATTGAACCAAATGAACGAAATGACTCGAAAAAAGATTCGTTCATCTTAATGAACAAGACTCAAAGATCCGAGTCAGTAAAATGATCTGAACTTCCCATCACTACTCTCCAGTGTGAAACGTCTGATGCAGCTTTAATTTTAGAACTGTAATAAAAGTCTTCTCACACTCAAAGCACAAATACTCTTTCACACCTGTGTGGATCTTTATGTGTTCATTAGGGTTTACTGATTGGTTGATACTTTTCCCACACCAAGTGCATGTGAATGGTTTATCTCCAGTGTGGGTCTTCATGTGTTTATTAAGGTCTGAGGAGTTGCTGAAACTCATCCCACACCGAAGCTGTGGGTTTTTCTCCATTGTGGTTTATCATGTGTAGATAAAGGAGTGATGGTTGGCTGAAATTCTTCCCACACTGAGTGCATGTCAATAGTTTCTCTTCAGTGTGGTTCCTCATGTGTAGATTAAGGTGTGATGGGCAGTTGAATCTCTTCCCACACTTAGTGCATGTGAATGGTTTCTCTCCAGTGTGGATCCTCATGTGTTGACTAAGGGATGATGAGCGGCTGAAACTCTTTCCACACTGAGTGCATGTGAATGGTTTCTCTCCGGTGTGGATCATCATGTGATAATTAAGGTGTGATGATTGGCTGAAACTCTTCCCACACTGAGTGCATGTGAATGGTTTCTCTCCAGCGTGAATCATCATGTGTTGATTTAGGGATGATGAGCGGCTGAAACTCTTCCCACACTGAGTGCATGTGAATGGTTTCTCTCCAGTGTGGATCATCATGTGAATCTTAAGTTTGTTTTTGCTTGTCAAAATCTTTCCACACTGAGTGCAGGTGAAACGATTATTGTCTCTCCTTTTCAAAACACCATCAGTCTGTAAATTAGTTTTTTCCTTAATTTTCACATGATGTTTCTCCTCTTTACTCCCCTCATTCTCTTCAATCAGGTCTGAAATAAAAAAAAAGTTTTCATTAAGACTTAAAAACTCTCATCAAAAGCTGAAAAGTGAAAAGACACTGGAAACATTGTCTACACACACTATTTCTGATGCACATTAAATGTTAAATAAATCAGATCATATTTTGTTTGGTCCATTAACATGTACACATTTAAGCAGATTCAATTTAATTCATCTATATTTATCTAGTGCTTTTACAATGTAAACTGGGTCAAAGTCGCTTAACATAGAAGTTACTGTAAATTGAAACGGTGTCAGTCCAGTTTTTAGAGTTTCTTACATAATTGATCATAAAAGTAATTTTGGTCACATTGATAAGGCACAGATTTGAAAGGTGTAAATGGTGGACGACCCCAGTATTCCAGTTTGGATGTGGCAGATCCTAATTAGGTGTCATGGTTGCCCCCCAATTGGTTCAAAGCATATAAATGCGAGAGTGAGCTAGCTTCTGTAGGATAGTGTGGCTACTGGGCGTTGTTTGGCATTATTTATATGCGTAGTTAAAGTTAGTTATTTTCTTTATTTTCCCCTAGACATTTGTTTCTTGATTTGTTGTTTTATTTGTTGTGTATAATAATTAAGTTGCATATACATTATTTTTGTTGTCTGAGCTCTCCTATGTTGCAACTCGAACGAGGGGGTCATAACAATGGTCTATTTTTTTTTGTTTTTTATATTCATAATTACAACAAAATGTTTTTCTAAAATTTGTTTAGCAGAAAGGGAATACTTGTTCATACTGTGCCTGACTGGTAAGCACATCAGAAAAGAAGTTCTGGGGTAACAGCTGAACAAACGGCTGAATATTTGTCTCGTAGACATGAGACATACCTGTACAGCATCTGCATAAAGGCTGGAATGTACACCTTTCCCCCTTCTTTGCTGATGGGATTTCATCCACTCTGGGGTGATTTTGAGGCTTAATAAAACTTTCTCTGTGTTTCAGCAAACTAACTGATTTTTGGGGACATCTTATTTTGACATATTCTAAGTAAATGCTTTAAAAAAAAAAACTCAATAGACTGTGGGCAAATTTACTCACTTTTTCGTTATATTCTTGATATCTTAAAATTTCTTGATATCGACGTCACTTGATATGATGGCTCCGAGCATGGCCGCCGTGTTGCGAGCTCCCAGCAAACTTTGTTTTGTTTTGAGTGTTTTCCCAGGTGAAAAAAAAGTGTGCTAAAATGCACTTTATTTAAGTATACTTAGTACACTTTTCAGTAATGTACTAAAAGTGCTTATTCGCACACTAATTTTGTACTTAATGTACTAAAAGATAGTATTATGTATATGCTAAGATAAACTTAATACCATCTAAGTGCACTCAACTGTGCTATTTTGAGACACCCTGAAATTGAACTAAAATGTGCTTTTAACATACTATACCTGTATTTTAAAATATATGTTTAGTTACAACTAGAAATACACTTGAACCCTAATTTTAAACATTTAAATATATTTATGACTAATTTAAAGTATAATAGTAATATATTAAAAGAATATACAAATTGTAAAAAAAAAAAAGTGTGCTAAATACTGTATTAAAAGTGCTCGATTTTCCCAAACTAATTTTGTATTTAATTTACTAAAAATTAGTATTAAGTACATTTTAAGATAAACTTAAGTACATCTAAGTGCACTCAACTGTGCTATTATGAGACAAAATGAAGCTGATCTAAAATGTGCTTTTAACATACTCAACATCACCTTCCGAAGAGCTCCATTAGAAAAGACTCCTTCTGCAAGCAGAATATGACTCCCTGACAAGTGAAAATGCAAAGGATCTCCACATAAGATCATGCTAGATTCATTATGAATGTAGTGGGATCACCTGGTGTCATCACAAGTGATTTTTCTATTAGCCAATCGTATAACTCTTGGGTGTGTATATAAGGGAGGATTTGAGTGTGTGTTTGTGTACTGAAGCACCGCTTGTGCGTCTCTACCGGAGTCCCGCTGGTCCCGCCTCTGCCCCTTCCGTTCCTGCAGGTAGACATTGTTTTGCTTTCCCTTTAGCGTCGGGTTGCGTAGTGGTTTTTTAACAGGCTGTATTTAATTTCTTAGCATCTGCGGATAAGATTGGCTGTAGCCTGTGTTGCTGTCACCCCAGCTGGATCGCTTTTTTATTCCTGGGCTGTGTTTTAATCTACAACTGCGTCCGTGAGTGCGGGTTGCTAAGTGGCTTGCAAACTAGAGGTATGTAAGTTACGCTTTTAATAATAATGCGCCGATCTGTCCAGTGACTTAATGTCTTGTCCTTTTTTTAGGAAGAATAACTGCGTGTGGGCACGCCGAGGGAGCAACATTAGTGATATTGCTGCTTTTGCTTTACAGACCGCTGCATTTTCTAGACCACTGCTTTCTAGACTGCTGCTTTATATTGCTGCTTTATAAACTGCTGCTTTACAGACCACTGCTTTCTCTTTAATATTGACCGCTGATTTGATATGGCTGCATATTGCTGCTTGGAGTCCGTTTGCCGATACATTTTTAGTGCGTGGATTCATTTTGTGTTTTCTGGGTTTCATTATTTTTCTTTTTGTACCTAATTCATTGTTTGATTTGTGCTTCCTGTGGGAAGTTTATTCTTTTTGAGTTAATTTATTATTATTATTACTTTTTTTGTTTTAAGTTTCTCTTCCAAGGAGATTTTTTTTTTTTTATGAATCTCTCTTGGGGAATTTCTGTTTTGTGTGAGATTGTGACTGTACAATTGTTAATTGTCATTTTTGTTTTGTAGGAGCTGAGGCTTCCAGGCAGGCCGTTAGTTGTCCATCGTGCGGTGGTGGTGTGTGTGTGTGTGTGTGTGTGTGTGTGTGTGTGTGTGTTGTGTGCTCACGTTTGTGTGTGTGTGTGTGGTGCACTTGCGGTAAGACCATTTGTAATTTTGTAGAGTTTGGTGCTACGTAACTAGCTTACCTGCCACTTGTAAGCCTCTACTCCTTCTGTTGTTATTGTGTGTTATTTATGTGATTTGTGCGGTTACTATCAGCTATCAAGCTTTTTAAAAGTGATTTATATTGGATAATTAAGGAAAATAAAGTATTTTTGTATTTTTTGTATTCACGTCTCATGCCTTTTTCTTCACACAAAGAACCTGTGTTAATTTCCCTATGATCAGGGTGGCATAGTCAGCTTTAATTTAGTATTTTTTTTTTTTCTTCCAACTTACCGCTCCGCTACATGAACATGGTGAACGAGCTGCCAGGTTATTGTGTTACCAACTGAAACAATCCTCAGCAGCTGGTTTTATAGCAGCAGTTAGTAAGGGTGATGGCAGTATTATTACTGATCAACAGAGAATTAATGATCAATTTAAACACTTTTATAAAACCCCTTGCAGCTCTGAGGTAAACGAAATTGGACGTATTGAGAGCTTTTTCAATTATTTAGAATTGCCATACCTTTGTGATTCAGATCAGTTGGCATTAGAATGAAATATAACTCCTTCTGAAATTGAAAATGCAATTAAAAAATTAAAAACCGGAAAAGCACCAGGCCCTGATGGCTTCCGGCTGAGTTTTATAAGAAGTTTACTGCCAAGCTAACACCACTGTTGTGCAAGGTATTTGATGAAGCTCTTGTTTTGGAGACAATTTATTTTAGGTACTTTTAAGGCCATAGTTTCGTAAAAAAAAACACTTCTCTCCATCACTGAACCGACCATAAGCATGTTGGATAGATGAATTGGTAAATATGGACTCATTTCAAAGGGGTATGATGTCCATGTTATATGAAGTGGTCTAAAGAACTGCCTCCCCTTACCTAAATTATATAAAGCTAAAATAGGAAGACGGACTGGGACTAGAAATATCAGATACAGCCTGGCAATATGCCATAGAACTGGTACACTCATCCCCTGCATTTATGAGACATGGTCTTCTGCAGTTTAAGGTGCTTCTTAGGATTCACCTATCTGGGTGCAAGCTGGCAAAAATGTATCCAGGGTCAGATTCATCTTGCCCCAGATGTGGTTTGGAGCCAGCAGATCTGATGTTCTGTCGATGCCCTAGATTGCATAAATTTTGGGCCAATATTTTTAGATCATTTTCATCTATATGTAATAGAGATCATTGCCTTTTCTTCTTTATTGGCCAGACGCCTGATTCTCCTAAGATGGAAAAAACAAACCCACCATCCCACAAATATTGGATATTAGAATTGTTATCACATCTTAAACTCGAGCACCTTAAGTACATCATCCGAGACTCTACAAAAAAGTTTTAGAGGTTTAGCAGCCTTTCCTCTCCTACATGGAACGCTCAGAGGTTATTATATCCTTGGTAAGTTTATCCCTAGTTTCCTAATTTATTTGATCTATTTTTATTAATTTATTTATTTTTATCTTTCACCCTTTTTCTTTATGGGGTGTATGTCTGTAGCTATGTACCATGTTAATTTGTTGTTCAATATGCGTGTTGTGGAACAATTGAAGACTTTGGAAAAATCAATTAAAATAGTTGAATAATAAGAATGTAAGCAGTACTAAAACAGTTTTTAGAAGAGTAATAATCCAATTAATCTACTTACAGTACATGTCTCTGTCGAAGGTCTGTGAATTTAAGCTAGTTATTAATTAAAGAAGAACAAGCCTTTCTCGTACGTGACTTTGTTCTTTGTGTGACTGAAATGTAGGTAATGGGTAAGCAGGATGAGAAAAATTATATATTCTTCTATTATATATTCCTTCT